CAATCTTATCGCTCCAGAAGACGGCCGACTTGTACTGCTGTCCAGCGATGTAGTCGTCGCGGATGTGCCGCCACTTCTGGACGTCCAGCGAACAGCTGTTCATATTATCGGTCACTCAATACAACTGACTTTCAATAAACCAATCCTTTGATCACTTTATGATTGTTTTTGTATTCACTTTGCGTTTGAAAAATATTGTCTCACAATAACTGAGGGATTGTTTAGTAATTGCATTGCGTGTATAGATATGTGTGAATGACTAAATCTTATGAAGTAGGTGGGTTGTTTTTCAAACTGACCAATCTAATTTCATTAAATACACACATACATACATGTACTGCACATATAGTGCTTCTATTGTGATGTAATTCTCATTCCCAACCTTTAAATCAATTCGTTTTGCTTTTTGTTTCATATATTATAACTAAATTCAGTCCATGTATTGCTTTAATACCATTAAATTGTGATAATATTAGCCTTAAATTCATTGAATTCACGACTGAAAACAAAATTACTTAAATTTGATATATTTCTATCGTTGCTGTCATGAGTGCCAAACGCGCGGCCGATAGTGACCGACAAAATGGCTCTAAAGACTGTGCGGACGATTCAGACCACTCAGAGTCAGAGTCCCCGTCAGGTGCCGTATTAGAGCCCATCGCAGAACAGTCTTCGCAATTAACGAATTCCGATATTAGACACGAAAGGGACGGATGTATACTCTCGACCCAATCGGGACAACTGCCACAACCCATTGCCTCCACCTCACACTCATCGTCGACCGCAACTCCTCCTCTAACTGTGCCGACTATATCCGCTTCACTGACAGAACAGAACGGATCTGAAGACGAGATCGACAGGTCTGTCCCCGTCTTCAGCACTCATTCCATCGGCGAAGTGAAGACCGACCAACACATGGTTCACGTCCAGAGTTGTGCTCAACCCATGATTGGTTCACAATTTTATGCCATGAAATCAAATCCTCGCGGATATTGCCTTATATTCAATATAATTGATTTTCCCGACCATTCCATTCAATTTCCCCATCGTTTGGGTTCCGAATCGGAAGGCTTTCGGTTGAAGAAAATCTTCGAACAGTTGCACTTTGAGGTCAATATCATTAAGAATCCAAATAAGAAAGACATCGAAACTACTGTCGAAGAATATTCGCAAAAAGAAGAACTCTTAAAACACGACTGTTTTGTTCTCATAGTTTTGTCGCACGGAAAGGATGGCGGAGTATTCGTCGGTAAATACATTAGATTTAAGATTTAAGACATTTTCAATAAATATTTTTAATTTATTTTGATTTTAATGTATAGCGAGTGATGGGCTATATATTGCATACAAAGATATTGTCGAACAATTAAATAACAGGAATTGCAAAAATCTCATTAAGAAACCCAAGTTATTCTTCTTCAGCTGTTGTCGCGGACGTATGTATTGATTGAATTATATGTTATTTTAAATGTTAAACAAATTATTTGCAAATACTAGACGATAGAGACTATGGTGTGGACTATGAAGTGGAAGCTTTGACCCAAACAATGAATTTAGATTCGGTTACAGCGGACGCCGGACTCATCCCAATGGACAGAATAAAGCCACAGGTTGTTAGAGTTCCGGTCGTTAGCGATGTTATGATTTGTTACTCGACTATTGATGGATACGTTTCGTGGCGTCACGAGGAAAACGGCACGTGGCTTGGGATGGCTCTCTGCAAAGTGCTCACTAAGTCCGCCCACACAACCGAGTTATTACAACTCCTCACACAAGTAACTAATCTAAATAGTAATTAATCTAAATATAAAGCAAACTATAATTTGTGTATTTATTGTCACAGATTTCGGATGAAGTGTCACTTAAAGAAAGTGATGAATACGGGGCCAAACAAGTGGTTGAAGTTATACAGAGAGGCTTTACTAAGCAATTCTATTTCAATCCGGGCTATTTTGCCGACTCTTCCTCATCTACTAATTGATTAAGCGCTCAATTTTATAACAATTCCAACCGTGACTTCATTTAAAGTATTTTCTGTTTTTAGATTATTTATGAATTGAGTCTCGAATTTAAATGTTTCTATTAAACTGATATTCTTCTATCAAGTGATTAACGAAATCTCCATTTCTATGCTTATAATTATTGTCTCAATAATATTATTCTTAATTTAACTTAACTTAACTTATCGTACAAAACATGCATTATTTCATCAATTTTTTAAATGATATTTATAGCAATAGATAATTGAGCGGCAATTCATAAAATATTTGAAAATAATGTAATATTTAATACAAATTTTATCACTTAAGACGAAATGCAATTATTTGTTTGATATTTGAATTAAAATAAAATTATGTTTTTGTTTTGTATATTGTTTTTATTGTAAAACAAAATATTTGGAGATTGACTGGACTCAAGTGTGTTGACGATTGGATAATATATTTTTAAAACTCGAGAATATTGGGTAAGTTTGACCAGAAATAATCAAAATTGTGAATTTTTATACCATGTTTTATATGAATATTAACATGCTGAAATGGAACAACTCGTTCATTCATTATACACTCTGAATCAATATGCTTTAACCATGATGACTTTATATTATTTGATTCAGAGTTTTGAATGAATAAACGAGTTGTTCCATTTCAGAATGTTAATATACGTACATATAACATTTAATGTACATATCATTTCAAACTTTGGTTTCATTATGAGTACTGTAGTGGCAATTATTGATTCAGTAATAAATTATTAATGATAATAAATAAACATTCTTGCCTATAAGAAATTGTTCAAATTTGACTTAAAATTTCGAAGCAATCATGGCCATTTAAACATATTCATGAAATTTTAACACAACATGACTATTCTAGTTTCATATGATATCACAACCTGTTTGGAGCACTACATGGCATACAGGTATACATGTACACTGTATGAAGTATACTTTCTAACTTATAACATTTATGTTACATGTATATAATTGTTAGCTATGGGCAAAATCCAGACGCGTCTGATTTTTTTAGAGTAACCAGGTAATAACTTCATAAAAATTTTATGAATTTGTATAATAATAATTTAATATAAAATCAAATTGTTTAGCAAATAATAATATTTTTGAGGTTAATTAACAAAATGTAATATTAATTTAAATATTTGTTATAAATAATAATATAAATTTTAATGTATTTATGAATATTAATTTAAATCATTTGTTTCAATACAAACGAAATGTAATTAAAATCACAATTAATTACTTGAACGCCGTTTTGAGTCCAAAACACATTAAGGAAGCGCTGGAAGTGCTTGAATATGATTATAATGACACCAAATCGATGGACATAACCGGCGGTGACAGAGAAGGAGATAATAAAGTAATTGAGACAATGATTTTGTGCATAAATTTAATGATTTAATGAAATATAAAAATTTACGTTACAATCAGTGGAAGAGTGGAATCGCTTTACTTAAAGGCCAGATATACGAGGCGTTAGACAATCGGATGATTGCCATCACTTGTTTCAAAGACGCCCTCAAATACGATGTCTTTTGTTACGAAGCCTTCTATTCATTAACTCAACACCAAATGCTTACAAGAAATGAAGGTTTGATTCAACTCCTGAATTGTCCGCTCATTTCGACTAATGTTAATGTTGTGATGCATTACAGAGGAGGCGATCATCGGTTCCCTAGAGTTTGAGAATCAATGCACTAAAGATGAGACCAAATTTGTCAGATTTCTATACGAATCGCAACTCAAAAAGGTTTGTAATAATTATTATTGAACTTATAATTTATAACTGAAAATATGCGAACAGTATGACAAACCCGGAGACATAACGGTTCCCATTGAGTTCTCAAACATCCTCTACGAAAACGTTGATTTCATGACAACATTAGCCGAAAGACATTACTATAACTGTGAATACCAACAGTGTTTTAGGATTACTTCTCAGTAAGTGTTTAAGTCGTTTAGCATTTTGTTTTAAATAAAAAATTTATTTCAATTATTAGAGTTTTAACCCGAGATCTCTATCACACTCAATGTCTTCCCATTCACTTGTCATGTCTGATGGAACTCAAGAAAACGAATGGTAAATCAATGACTGAAAATAAAACAAAGTGTAAAATATTTTTGATTTACTGAACAGCGCTTTTCGATTTGGCGCATAAACTCGTCGATCTCTATCCCGAAAGTTCGGTCAGTTTTTTCATACGCTTTATAAATACAAAATGAGTGAATATGAATGTGTACAACAGTTGTCGTGGTTCGCCGTCGGCTGTTATTACCTATTGATCAACAAAACAGACGCCGCGCGACGATTCCTAAGCAAAGCGACCACTTTGGACAACGTGTTGGCTCCGGCGTGGCTTCTGTACGG